CAATTTTTTGGGAGAGGCTTTCAATAAAAATATATGTATATACACACTTTTTAAAGAAATATAATTCTTACATTTTTGTTAATTCCACTTTTTACACGGAGAAAAATGGAAAAACGAATAAATAAGTAACTTTTTACTATTTTTTAAAAGTAAAACCAGAACTGTCCGCAGTTTCTGCGCATTTTTTTGGCAATTTTTATTCCAGAAATATTAAAATTTATTCTGGACATAGTAAATTTTACTACACTATAAAACGAAAGGTATATTAATTTAATACCAACTTTAGGTACTATATTGCCTTTTGGTTCTATTTTAATACCTAAAATCGGTACTATTTTAGTACCTTCTTTTTACAGTGTATTTCTAGAGTAAAAATTGACAGAAATGCGCAGAATTAGTAACAGTTTTGATTAATTTTTAGTAAAAAAAAAATTACTAATTGCTAGTAGAAAAATACTAATTGCTAGTAGAAAAATACTAATTGCTAGTAGAAAAATACTAATTCGTGGAGTAAATCGGCTTACTAATTTGAAATAGTAAAAAAAATACGATTGACTTCATGAATTAGTAGTTTTCTACTAGCAATTAGTAGTTCTTTTTTTTTTTTTTTTTTTACTAAAAATTAGTCAAAAATGTTACTAATTCAATTAGTAAATGAAAACGCACTCTTTCATTAGTAGAAAACTACTACTTCAGATTTATAGAGACTAGATTTAATAACTTTCTGTACTCTCTAAATCTGAATTAGTAAAAATGTTTACTAATTTGAATTAGTGACTCACTTTTTGCTTCTGAATTAGTAAAATTTTACTAATTATATTAGTAACTTTTACTAACAATTAGTAAAATTTAACTAATTCTAAAAGCAAAAAGAAAGTCACTAATTTAAATTAGTAAACATTTTTACTAAATAAGATTTAGAGAGTAAAAAAAATTTTTGAGGGGAAATCAAATAAAATTTCGACGTAGTTATTTTCTCAGCAGTGGGGAAAAAAAATCAAGGGGTTGAATATATATTGCGAAACAATTCATAATACCTCTGAATCGATAAGACGCGCATTAAAAATACTATATGTATTAGAATTAAACGCATGTACACGGCGCTAAGAGAATTTCGTGTTATGCCAATGATTCATGCTGAATATGTCAAACTGGTTTTCGAGGCAAGTTTATAATACACGAAAAAAGCCAAGTTCCAACACACACAATATATATATATATATATATATCTTTCAAAACGCGCGCACATTATGGCTACCCCTTCGTCATCATGATTCTTCAATAAATATAACATTTTTTTTTCACTAAAATCTCCCCTATGGTGAATAATTATATATATATATATCTACAATTTACATGCGAAAAGAAATATTAATTAAATAAAAGGATTTGATGTAATCTTAATGAATTTGATTGGCAAATTTTCAAATGTAGAATTGTAAAAAAAAGAAAAAAAAAAGAAGAGAGAGATATTGAATTCAAATTTTAATGTCGATGACACCATATTTAGATATATGTATATTATCTATAATATTATTTGACAGTAAATATTAGCCACCCGATTTGTTCAGCTCGTTTAGTAGTCAACCTCCTTTTCTATATCTTATTCCTTCGGCTTCGCACCTATTTCTTCAATCGATACCGACTCTCAAAATTAACTTGACCTCTTTCTCTCGACAAAATCAGTAAAGCAATCTCTCAGAACGCAAATTTCAACATTATATACACATTAGCGAAATTCAAACTATTCTCAAATATTAACATTATTATTAATATTACTATTATTATTAAATTATTATTATTATTAATATATTTTTTTAACTATTATTTTTATTTTCATGAGACAAAAAGTTTTGAACGTTCAAATGAACGAAATTTTTTTTTTCCAACTTAAAAAGAAGTTATTAATTTAATAATTGTTTAATTTATATTGTTTTATTATTTTATATTCTCATCATAATTTTTAATAATTTATAGATTGAAAAAAATATTTTTTTATTTTTTATATATATATAATTTCTTGATTAATGAAAACTATAAAAAATATTTTTTTTAGACAAAAAATTATAAAATTTTTCATTTAAAAAAAAATTATTTCTTTTAAAATCGTTTATCATAAACGTTGTGTATACTTCAGCTTTGTATTTTAATATTAAGAAAAATCACGTGAAAGAATCAAGTCAGTTAAAAAAATTGAGTAAGCAATAATAATTGGCGTGAAAATTGCGGAAGAATAACACAAAAGTTTATAAAGCAATATCTAAGAGAGGCAAGAGAGAGAGAGAGAAAGAGAGAGAGGTTATTCACCTCCTCCTCGCAATGTTAAATTTATCAAAATGAAAAAGTATCTCTAGTGAGATTGTTGTCCAAGGTCGAACCGACTCGTTTAGCTTTGAACTCGAAATGTGTGACTGGATTTGAGATTTGAATTTTGAAAATTAGAAAGGAAGGATAAAAAAAAAAGAAAAAAAAAACTGTTCGCGAAACGACCGGATGTGACAGAGACAAACGAACGTGACGGGATTGGTCAATGGCACGCGTAATCGAGATGAGCTTCATACACAAACACATTCTCGCCCAGAGAGAGAGAGAGAGAGAGAGATATTTACAAATTGCATTCACATTTATAAGATTCACTTAATAATACAATCGAGAAAATAAATCAGGAACTGCCCCAGAGAAGAATTAAGTTTATTTTTTTCGATAATATCTTTTTTTTTAATTAATAATTTTAATTTAAATATGTAATTTCAATTAATTTTCTTTTAAGAGAAAAAATTTGATCCAAATTGATCAACACTTGAAATTAGATAAAAAAAGAAATATTTTTCATTCAAGGCCCAGGCCTAAGGTCACGTCCCTGAAAGCATTAGAATTCTGATCAGGAGCGGATTACTTAAGAAATTGAAGACAAAAAATTCATAGTGAATTTTTAATTTCGTTACGAAAATAATATTATTAGAATAGGAAGAAGACACATTTCTGAATGAATAAAAAAAATTCAGAGAATTAAAATATTGAATTATGGTCAGATCAGAGTTGAAATTCTAAAGAAAAAAAAAAAGAAGAAAAAAAAAAGATTTGTGCCGGCCACGTGTCGATATGGCGCTTTCCTAATCCAAAAGTATGTTTCGCCTTTCTGTGAACGAAACTAAGATTTAATCGCTGTGCAAATTCGAGTTTCATAATGAATAATTACTTTCATCGTCGTCATCGTTCGCATACTTAACTCATATGATAATGAACTTAAATTTCTGTATCCCCCACTTTTTACTTCATTGAGCAGTTTTATATTAAAATAATTATAATACAAACAGCGAATATTGTAAGAGAACAATTTTTACTTTTAAATATGTAACGTTTCGAGAATAATATTTTAAATATTTATTTTAAAAATAAATAAAATTATTTCGTTAAAATATTTATCACTCGAAATGTATAATATATATATATATATATATATATATATATATATATATATATATATATATATATATATATATATAATAAAGCAAATATTGGATATTATAAAATTACCAAGAGATGAGATTTGAACCGACTATAAAGACGACAAAAACTGGTAACACTATCACTGGGTGACGACTGTTTAGAAAAAAAAAATATATATATATATGAGAGCGTTTCCTAACGAAATAAAAAAAATTTAGTAAATACTAGTCTGAGCGATTCAAAGGCGCTCAAAAAAGTTCCATTAGATTAAAAAAAAAAGTAAATTTAATATTTCTTAATAAATTTAATTAATAATAAAAAAAATTTTGAAATAATAAAATAGAATTGAATTAAAAAACACAAAATCGAAATAGGTCTCATTTTTTTCATTAAAAATCTCATTCGGAAAAAAAAACAAAATTGATTAATAATTTTGAAAATATGAAATTATTTTATTTTTAGCTGAGGACTTTGTTGAAACCGAATTTCAATTCTTGGAAAGAATAAATACATATGTATATGGAAAATGATCAAGGTTACGAGTCATCGTCCTCATCGTTTGGTCACAAAAAACAATATACTTGTTTTATAATTAAATTTTTAATCATTATAAACTTTTAATTATTGAATTTACTTTCAGTGATAAATTTAAAAATTTGCTTTTCTTTAAAGGAAAAAAATTTGAAAAACTGTCAAGTTTCACTAATCTTTGCTATTATGTAAAAGTGGTGGGAAATGTTAGTCGACAAACGGATGTGACAAGTTCCCGAGAGTTAACTCTGTTGGTAAAGTACGTGACCTTTCATTAGTTCAATTTCAAGTTCGTTTTTTTTTTCAGAGAGCACACTCAACTTTTGGCGGAAGTTAAGTGTTTTAAAACACATTCGATTCACGTGGGAATCACACTTTTTTTTTAAACATAAAACTAAAATACAAATGAAAACTGGTTATTCTTTTATTTTTTTCATTATCTAATCACCTCTATATATTTATTGTGACCAACAGTCCGACAAGAGCGTGAACGTTTCGCAGAGTCCTCGTCCTTATTCAGCATTTTATTCAAGCTTCATTTCTCAGTTTACATTAGGATCTAATATTCGATTCCAAGACGTCTATCAGTTATCAGATTAAATATTTAATTAATCATTTCTCATACGATTCAATTATTGAAATTTAAATTTTTGCTTATCAATTTATTTCGTATTTATATTATTTACAAGTATGATTCAAAATGACGCTATCGAAACATAACCTCAAAAATTATATTTAGAATTTTGAAGACTGCATGAATTTAATTTAAATAAGATATGATAAAATTTAAAGAAAAATATATTAATAGGAATATTGAAAATATTGAGAATTAAAAGTTCTTGTTTAAACGTGTAACAACACAAAATCGACAGTTATTATATTGTTTACACAAGTCTTTCGAAAAGTTGTGTTACGCAAGACACTTGTTAAATTTTTCAAGAGCATCGAGTCTAAATTTATAAATATTATTTTTCAAACTTTATAGAGAAATTAATTCAATTGAAAATGAATATTCTTACCTTGTCTGCCTACAATTTCGGCCACGTGCTCGCTGCTTGGCACCGGCACGCACTCAGTCATGTTCTGGCTTTTTTTGGAACGTGCCTCCTCAAAGACATTGGTTGGTGTTGTTTGCATAGCATCTGAATCATTTGGAGATCCACTTCCAGTTCCGCTTCCCGATCCTGGACATCCTGTACCTTCAAGTCCAAGCATCGAAAGTTCAAAAGCAAGTTGTAGCGCTCGTTGCTCTTCTAAAGAGCCGGCTCCCGCACCATTTGACCCACGGTCCATTTCGCTGAATAAACTTGTCGGCATCTTTCTGACAAATTAACAATTTCCGGTTTTCTATAAATCTTGTGGAAAAATTTGCTGATTTATTCCGTTTCGCGCGTCACTTCACGAACTCCCTTTTTCTGTTATATTAAAACTCACAGTTCTGTTATTAATCAACTTCCTAGTTTTGATGTTGAATGTGAAGCGAATAATCACGTAGAAAAAGCGATGCACTTGTATAAAAATAAATTATAAATTCACACCGTGACACACCTCTCTCTCTCTCTCGTCAGAAAAATTCAAACGAGTATAACTTTGCAGTTTGGAATAAAAAATTGTTGTACACAAAACAGCGTACTTTTTTTTTGAATAAATATTGCTTTTTCACAAAGGATCAAGCGCTGTTGTCGTTTTCACGGTTGTTATAATCTCGTGTTCGTCGCGTGTATCCGGTGCTGATACTCGCGGCCGATCGTTAACAATTTCTGATTCAAACTGATGTCGTATTTTTGTTCTTCTTTCAAGACTCGTTGTCGTCTCGTTTATTGCCGCTAACAATTAATCGCGAGTGTATTTGATGACAATAGAATTGTTTATTGTGCAATGATCACGTTAGCTTCGTCAACGACTGACTGAAGCAGTGTCGCGCGACTAAAAGCTTATACTTTGGAAACGCGTACGACTACTCTGACACTCGTACCACTGCGACTAACTGCGGACTGCGGCGGCTCGACCGGCAATCCATGTGCTGGACGCCGGGTTTCCAAGGCTCCCATTGGTGCGCGCCAACTTTCCCCACCAATAAACCCGTGACGGCATTCGGTTGTAATCGTTTCGTCTCGTGCTTCTTCGCACAGTTCCTCGTCCTCTTGTTCAGGCATGCATCTATATAGGGGAGGCTGTTTTTTTTTTTTTTTTTCGAAAAAAAAGAGAGAAAAAAAGTCTCACTTTTTTTACGCGCCAAGTTTCTCATTACTAAAAATGTTGCACATTTCGATGTAATTCGGAAAAATATTTCATTATCATTTTACTTACTATTATTTCGTTAAATTAGAATTTAATCGTTTATTAAACAATGCGGTTTATTTTTTTTTCAAATATCGCGTGATATATATAAAATCTGGAACAAATCAATGAGCGAACACATTAATTAAGTATCTAATTTTGACAAGAGCAGTGATACAGCAAAAAAAACTATGATTTATTATTTTTGAAAAAATAATTTTTAATAAAATAAATATTAAATTAAATTTTTCCTCTTATAAGAGAGATTTTTTTGAAACAAACATTATTTTCTCGAAATCAGAGAAATTTGTTCTTTATAAAATTATAATATGAAATAATTTTTTTTTTAAAAAAAGAAAATGTTTCTTTGATTTATAAAGAAAACTTTTTTTTTGATTGATAGAAAATTTTAATATTTTGAAATAAAACTTATGAATTAATTAAAGTCAAAAAGAGTATTTTTCAATTTAATAAATATATATATACTTTTTGCATAAAATTATTAACAAACAGAAAAAAGTTTTATTGAATCAAATATTTTGTTCTTTCTAACTTAAAATAAGATTAGACAAAAATTTTGATCTAATCAAATATTTAACATTAAAATCGATTCAACCGAACTAAAAAAAATTTTGATGAATTTTTAACAAATTTATTAATTTAACCTTAATTTATGATAACCCCGTTTTTGTGGATTTAGTACACTAAACCGGGGTTCCAGTGTATCCAAATTATATTTTCAGGAGAAATTCAATATCAAAAACTATACTCATAGAAGGCTGACAATAATTTTGTATCATTTTTTTTTTGGGATCCTAACCTATATTTTTTCGCATTATTTGTGAGAAAAGCTTTTTCTTCCATTCGTCAATAAAAACAACAATATTAATATCCTTTAAATGAAAAATTTTGAATAAAAATTTTTTCTTTTCTAGATAAAAATTTATATAGAAGACAAGAAGAGCAGAATTACCGTGAGAAGCGCGTGCGTGATGGCCGGGCAAAGAGCCACAGTTCGATGTCCTTTGAATAAAGTTCCAGAAGCTGCTTTTGAACTGAAAATCATTATTGGCATATTATCACAAAATGTATATATATATATATGTATATATGTTGTATGCGGATTTATAAAATTAACTTCTCTCGATTTCACTAAAAATCTTTTGTATTTTATGTACATACGTATATATATATAAATACCCTATATATGTAAAATTAATTCTTATATAAATTGTTGTTTCAAAAGTTGTAACCAGTAAAGACACATGCTATATCTTATTATAACGAAGAGTATATAGACACCTGCTTCTGCGTCTTTCGCAAATTCATTAAGAATGAGACACATGTCTTTTTTTTTTGCTGACGTGATAAATGTCAGCGGTTCTTAACATTATTTCTCATTCTTTTTTTTTTTTAAAAAAAAAAAAGAGGCGATTAGATTAAAACCTTTCCACGTGTTTATTATTGTATGAAATATATTCATTGTTTATGATCTTCACTAACTAAATTTGAACTGACTTTCAGCTAACAATAATTTTAATAATAATTTATAGAAATAGGAAATTTACGTTCATTTTGAGGTTATGTTTCTCGCTTTTAAAACGCGTAAATATGACATTTATCTCAATGTCTTCTAGTGAGACATTTATAGACTTTCGTTTTTGCACACTGAAAAAAAAGTATTTGTTTCAAATAATCCGTTACTTGACTATTATCAAATAAATATTTACTTGAATCAAATATTATTTGAATTAAAAAAAAACTATATTTAAACCAAAAATTTCTGTATACCAATAATTTTTGTATTATAGATACAAAAATTCGATTTAATTGACTCAAAATAATAATTACCATATTCAACCCATTAACATAACCTCAAAGTAAAAAATTGATTTTAACAACAAATAAAACTATAAGGTGCCATTCATTAATTACGTAAGGGTCCTTAGGGGGAGGGGAGGGGTTTATAAAATCTCTACATGGTGTTACGTCGGGGGGTGCGGGGGGGGGGTGAAGAAGCTATTCTTACGTAAGATTTTGCCAAGTATTTTCCATTTGTATTGTTGTAATTAAATTTTTAATTACATTAATATTGTTAAAAACTTACGTAAAAAGGGGAAGGGGGGGGGGTCTGAAAAATCTTATGTATACTTACAAGGGGGTAGGGGGGGATCAGAATTAGCTAAAATCGTCTTTACGTAATTAATGAATAAATAAAATTAATTTTATCAAATTTTGAAAGATTCAGTTGTACAATTTTTTAAAATAAATTATTTTGCGCACAAAATTTGTTGTTAATTAATAATTATTTCACTTTTTATATTTTTTTTGTTTAAAGTTAGTGAACAATTGTAATTTTTATGCAATTCCTACAAACAATATAGCTCATTTTGCTCTTTAAAAGATTTTCTACAATTATTCTGTTTGTTGAATTTTATTAAAAATATTTTGTTCAAAAGTTAATAAATAAATAAAATTTTTATTTTTTATATTTTTTAAACAAATCATTATTTATACAAAAACACAAAATTGTAGAAAGAATTTTAGAGAATATCTTTCAAAGAGAAAAATAAGCCATTGTTTATAAAAATTGGATAAAAATTAGAATTTGTTCACTATATAACTTTTAAGAAAAACTAAAAAATGTTTATTAATTATTTTTAAACAATAAATTTTAACTCAAAATAATTTTTTTTCCAAAATTGTATACAATTGTATATCTGTTGAATTTGGGTGTAATAAAATTTAAATATATTTTTAGTTCTGTTAAAAACTACTTATTTTTAGTTTGAGATTATGTTAATGGGTTGAACCTCCTTAATAAAAATAAATATTTATTTCATAATAGTCAAGAAATCGTTTAATTGAATCAAATAATATTTTTTTTTTCACTGCAGTATTAACTTTTATAATGATTCGAACTTAAAATATCCAACAAAAATGAATCCAGTTTTCTTATTCCTAATCTCTCTAAAAAATAAAAAAATAAAAAAATTATAATACAATTTTTTTTACATTGATATATTTATATGAAACGAATTAAATAAAATGAAATTATCATAAAATAAAATTATAATAAAATGAAATAAAATTATATGACTCATAGCGGAAAAAAAATGAAATGACAAATTTCTCAAGTGTATATACACTAACACACTGCGAGTCTTCCTCTAATATTTCTAATTGAATCGTTTGCACTTTGCATAATATATTGTATGTTTCAAAACACCTTGGGGATAAAAAAACATATAGGGGTTGAAATTATGTATAAAATAAAAAAAAACATTATGCTTCTCTTAAACTATTATTTCAATATAGGCTATATAATGTATAAGACAAATACCCTCATGTTGTTCAGCATAACATATGTCTCTTTTCGATTTCCGGTCTTTTTTATAATGCCGTGTGAACCTTCAGTTATAAATACAAGTACAACACATCAATTGTGTTTGAAAACATTCAAAATGTTCGCATTGTTTGAAAACTTAATCTTTCGAGAAAAATTTGCGCTGTTAAATATATAATTATTTAAATCCATATGTATTATTATTATATTATTATTTCTATTATATTATAATTTTCTTTCAATATTCATCGATGTTTTGTTCCAATAAATAATTATTTTTATAAATTTTGTTTTTTCCAAAATGACAAAATTTATTAAAATAATAATTATTATTTTCATTATTTAGTATTATCAAGATAATATTTAGTGTAAAGAATTATAATTAGTGAATAGAAATAATTCAGGCACTCCCAATATCTTTTGTGGTCAAATAGACTCAGATCATGATGAGCAAAATCAAGTAAAGTCGGTATGAAATGTTATTGAACTCTTGTCGGGCAAACAAAAAAGGCTTGTTTTCAAGGTTGTCTTTTACGATACACAGAAATATTTACTATATATATACATATATATACTTCTGATTCAACGAACTCCCAGAGGACAAGTTCAGTGAATTGTAGTAAACTTCATTTTTAATTATCTGACGAGGGAATACATATTGTGACCTTCTTTATAAGATGTATATGTATATATATACACACAACTATAATTACGTTTTAGAGTGATGCTAGATTTTTTTTTCTCGGATTTATCTCCAGTATTTTCAATTTCTTATTCTCCATATAAGTTATATGTTTAAAACATTCATTTTTATAGGTGTTAATTATTTTTATATCTAAACTGTGGATTTGATATTAATTTGAATATAATTTAAAAAAAAAATTATATAATTTCGTAATGTGGGTCACTGTCAATACAGTAAAAAAAATTACTGGCTATGATTTTCGTGTCAGCTGTACGAAAGCAAAAAAAAAAAATTTATTTTTTCCCACTCTATTTTTCACTCAATGAGAGGGAGTGTTTCTAACTTTTTTCCTCCACATTACATAATTATATAATCCACACGCGCGCCATACGGTAACTTTAACACATTACCAGAAAATTTACAGGAAAAAAAAAAGGAAAGATATGTATAATGAAGGGAAAGCTCTATTTTTCCAATCCTAGAAAAATAATAAATCAAGCTTAAAGGTCCAGGTATGACATCCGGAGCTAAAAGTCTTTTGTATTTTTTCGCCGACGAAAAGTAAAGTTCCAGTCCCATATATATATATATATACATTTGCAGCTGTAGCAAATTAATGGACCTTTCAAAAAAGTTTTTGAGCTCTTCGTTCCAGGCAAATTGTGTGTATTTCTCTCACTCTCTCTCTCTCTCTCAAGGTTCAGTCCTG